TCTAAGATAGTTTTCTAATAGACATTTTCCTATATTAGAGAGGCTAAAAAGTTAATACCAAAATATTTATCCGCGAAATATTAATAGAATACGATTTTCTCAATTTTAAAAGAGCTTTTGAGACGTTCATTAACACCAAACATCTCAAAATTACTGAAGTACAACAAAATAGGGTTCTTAGTGCTATTCTTGTATTAATTTAAGAAAAACAATCTTTTAGTGCCAAAGAGGTTTGGAAAACCATTCATGTTCTGAAAAACGGTTTTATGTTCTTTCTTATCATGTTGAAAGATTCAATTTTCAAACGAAAATAGACTCACAGAGACGATACAAGAAAGATTTCAAAGGGTTGATACTATTGAAAAAATTAAAGTGAACTGTTTTAGGAGGATCAAATGTAATATTTATAACTAATAATATAAACAAAAATTGTCAAGAATCATATCAAGTGGATATCTTTTTGGTTTTTCAATATGTTTCATTAATTTTTGTACATTATCACTGACTTGTGTTCCGTCCACAACACAAAGCCCTCGGGCAAAGGCGGGTGGTCGCTCCCTCCCTCTGGAGGCGGCCTCTCCCGTCGGGTGCGCCCGGCGCTCCCACAGCTGCCCACCCGGACAGCCGGCCTCCCCCGACCCAAGAGGCCACCCATGCTTTCCCCGAAGGGGGATGTAGCCTCCAAATGGCACGTTCACTTGTCCCCGGGTCAGACTTGCAAGAACCACCGCGAGAGGCACACTGACCATACCGTCGGCCCAGCGCCTTTTCGTTGAGCAGTCTCCTTGCTCATGATCAGAGTTCATGTTTTGTGCTTCGCGCAAGTAAAAACGCTGCCCTCGGCACGTAGGTCAGTGACTTGAGTGCGCTATCCTGTCTTCGACGAACTACCACTAAACGGGGTGACGCCGCATGTAGTCATAGTGATTCTGCCATCGGCGGGTACTACAGTGCGGTACGAACAGACCCTACTCACACACCGTCTGTCACCTGCTGGCGAAAGACCGTGTGTGCCGCACGCACACTCCTGCTGCCAGGGCCCACCTATGGCCAGGTCTTTGGTCAAGCTGCGAGGCGACAGACGCTCCCCGTAATCGGCGAACTGTGTGGGATGCCTGCATTCCCGCTTCGCCCGGAAGAGCAGCACCGCTGAGCACGCATGCCGCAGCGACCCAGCGCAAGACATTAGGGAACGCCATGTGCCCATGGAAGTGAAGTGCGTGGCTCGACCAACCTTCACGACGTCACCTTCACGGTCATAAGTTCTCAGCAATAGAAGTAATGTATAATCCAGCCATTTTGTATCATTCATTTAATTTCATTTCTCTAAAATCAATATATTTCATTTTTCTGTCATATGTCATCCCACCAACGAAGAAAAGAAATTTAGAATTTATAAATCGTATGTGCAATGCAATTATTTTAATTTTGTGAACCTCCACCTCTTCCCTTAACCAGCGACATCCCTCTCCCCCCGGGCATCTCATGGCCCGATGCGGCGTACAATTATTTTGTATAGCGAAGCGTTTTTTAGTCTGCTAACGCACCCCCTCCCCCGTTCTAGGTATTCTTCTCCATTTTAGCATGTCAGTTACGTAACCCACCATAGGCTTACATTGGTTATTTGTTTCTTTGTGTTCATTATGTTTTTTCTTATACTTGCAAGTTTTGAAACACCCCATTTATTTTGAAATACAATAAAGATATATTTCAACTGTTCAAGTTTATTTTTTCCAATTACATTTATTGATGTTGGCATGTTTTTAACATGAATACTCTATTATATCAGAATGAAGATTTGGGCGTTTGACTCTCTGTATACATTCATAGTTCAAATGTCGTTAGTATTTTATATTATATATATATATATATATATATATATATATATATATATATATATTAGAAATCAGTTCTTCAAAACAATTGTGTATTTCGTTAACGCTTGATAAACAGAAAATTAGCCTTTATTTTAGACGCCTGTTTAATGACATATTTCGTAGTTTTTAGGAAACTCGACAAGTTTCATTCAGAATCCTAATAATGCTCAAGATGAAAGTTAAAAAGTTAAAATACAAATGAATTGCAAGAACCAGTTTTAAGGAATCTTCGAATTACTGGGTGATTATAAACTAACCAGAATATTTTTAAAATATTTATTTTTGAATATAGTTTAAATTTTATATTCTACTAAATTAATTAGGAGAATGTAAAATTAAGTTAATGACATATCTTATGGAAATTGTACTGCTCCGTGAAAACACTGTCCGTATTTTTTTCTGAGTTACGTCCTACTTCATAACCACATTCTGTTCCTACAGCCCGTCATTATCTACTTCAGAAGAAGCATTTCATTTGCTTTCTGCTTTCTCATAACGTGCAATGTGGCTTGTCAAAAGATGCAATCAGTATTTCGTGAAAATCTGCCTTCAATCTCTTCCGCAGACTGAAAGCACGATTCTCTGAACATTGCAATTCACAAAAGTGTGCCATTATGATACCTAACTTTGCCACAGCCATCCAACGACGTTTAGTCGATCTTTCTGCTTTTTGTGCCTTTGATGTCCCAGAACGACTTTTCATGAGAGTACTTGATGATGATGCCTATTTACTGTCGAAATTGCACAGTTAAACTTCCATTTATACTTTCTCAAATTGATATTCTTCACAAAGATAAAGCTTCTTTGCAGAAATATGGCTTGATAAGGTGTGGTTGAATTTGCAACTTGGAAAGGCTATTGGAAGGGGAGAATTGGTCCACGCTGAAAAACCTTTCTCTCAAAGGAGTAGTGAATTGTACAAAGAGAACTAAATTCTCTACTAGCGATGTGAACATTCAATTACTTCTGCATCACAATCATTTTTAACCCTTAACTAATGTGCTCTGAGGTCATTCATTGGTCACCACAAAATTCATCTGTATTACTTCGGCGTTCTCATGGGCAATATTAAATTGGCACAGTCACATCTCATTCAAAGTAAAGGAATAGAGGATTATCTATTTTACTTTCCATTCTCAATCGCAACTCTTCTTAAAAAAAACATTCCTCTTTAACAAATGTAGTATTCGACACGATAATAACTTACGCATTACCTGCATGGATTTTAGCTAGCCGATTTCAGTTCTTACAATAATAAATCACAAATGTTCCAAACCCTTGAGAATAACAGTAAATTCCCTTGGTTTGTCAGCAATATGACATTCCACAGTGATGTTGCAATAGAACCAATAACCCTCTTTATTATGAAACTGCCAGATAATTTCTACAATAATGTAAATCATGGAAGGTAAGTAATACAATTATGGCACGTGCAGGTAATATGGACAAGTAGCGGCCATGTTGTTAGCTGAACCTATTTTCGATTTATAATGCTATTATGTAGTCTGGGAGAGTGTAAGAAGTGCTTCAACACCCTAACAGGCTTTTTAGTCTCGCGCATTCGCACTCTGGAGCCTTTATTGTCAAGAACGCGCTGAAAGCGCTCTGTCTTTATAACTTCTTTCCACGGATTGGTTACACTTTAAGAAGGGTTTTTGTATTTTGACAATATACATTAACTTTCAGCGCATTTAATTAGCAATCAAATCAGATTAATGCCGTTTAATTTGCCCAATGTGTACCAACATCGGAGATATTTTATAATATGTTGTTTTGGAGTCAATATGGCTAAGGGTGATGGGTGAGCATATTACCAGCACTTACGGCTACAATACCTTCATGTGTTTGATACACTAATGTTTTTGTGTTTTGATTTCTAGAAAATTAATCCTGAAAAGAGAGGAGGAGTTTGGAGCCAAACGAATATGAAAAATAATGTCAGTAATCGACTCTCGGGCTATTATTTTAAAAAAGATTTATTTGAGAACGTATTTTTGTAAAATTTGACTATAAGAGGGTAGTTCATATTATATTTTAGTATAGCTAGCTCTAGTTCCATAGTAATGCAACAAGAAACCACATTATTTTGCAATGGTCATGAAACCTGCCTGGGGGCATATTACCTTCCAATTAATTTGTATTTGTAAAACAACAATAAAATATTTCTGAATCTTTTTCTTTTTGCTATATAGCTATTTCAACTTGAAGTTAAAATATATTTCATCACGATGCTCTCAATTTGGCTAAATGTTGTAATATATAAACAGCAAAATTTGAGGTTCTTAACGTGGCCGTACTGCTTTCACATATCGTACAAGAAGCAGCCACGAAATAGGAATTGATCAATCCCAACTCTCCCGGCTAGGAAACAGACTCCAATTTTATTTTTTTCTTTAATCATTTCATTTACCTCTTACCTGTATACGATTCTAAAAACTTATCATCGCCCTATAACAATTGGCTAGAATTATCCTCTCAATAGCCTTGGTTGAGGGTTACAAGTGACGAAATTACCATCCGAGAGGTGACAAGTTACTGTCCTAACTCATACACAATTACTTGACCAACCACTTGCAGAGCCTCACGGCTGAACGTCGCACTGAAATTGTAAAAAGAAATTCAAAGCAAAAAATTAAAAAAAACTACCCTGGGGCTACATGAGGCACTATGACCGTCTTATCATTTTTTACTTTTTAACGAGAGGAATATGGTCGTGATTTTTTACTCCACAATCTTCACACATTCTGTTCTTTAAAAGATAGTTTTCTAATGAGAAATTTAATCATGCAAATATTCATTTCCTTCAAAAAATTGCGTAATTACTAGGGTTCAACAAGAATCTAGTGGTGTCACAACAACACATCCTTCCTCTTATTCCAAACATCCTTGGCGGAAATGCTTTGTGACGTCCAAACTACTTATTGTAAAATGTAGTAAATAATGAATAAAACAATTTTAAAATCTGACTTGCAAAACGTTCTCTATGAAGTAAATTATAGAGTATATTGCGTTTATTATGAAAGTCAACCAGTCTTTCCAAACGCGCTGCTCTAAAATGTCTTAGCTGTCAGACAGGACCTTGTCATTGGGAGGTGGCGAGATATTGAAGTCGGGTGCACTCACCGCGCACGGCGAGCTGCAGGCCAAAGCGGTCGGCGCCACGCTCGTTCTCCACCAGCAGCGAGTAGCGGCGCGCGTCGCCGGGCCCCGCCCCCGTCACGTGCAGCGCCGCCACGAAGCAGTCGTCGCGCGAGTCCTGCGCACACCCGCGCACCGCTTGCACACGCGCCCACGCACGCCACGCCGCCCACGCAGCCCACGCACACGCATACGCTACTTGCGAACCCACGCGCCTCTCACACCAAACCCTCAACACAGAAATATTATTTGCCCACAAAACCCACGCACACCGTTTGCAAACCCACACCCACACACCACATAAAAAATGCAGCGGTTTCCTTCACCCGCCCACGCATACGCCACTTGCGAACCCACACGGCTCTCACACCAAATCCCCAACAGATATATTATTTGCCCGCAAAACCCACGCACACCATTTGCAAACCCACAAACACACCACATAAGAAACGCAGCGGTTTGCTTCACACGCCCACACATACACCACTTGCGAACCCACGCGCCTCTCACACCAAATCCCCAACACAGAAATATTATTTACCCGCAAAACCCACACACATCATTTGCAAACTCACACACTCATACCACAGCAGCAACGCAGCGGTTCGCTTCACCCGACCACGCATACACCATTTTCAAACCCACACACCTCTCACACCACATCACCAACACAGAAATATTCTTTACCCGCAAAACCCACGCACACCATTTTCACACCCGCCCCACACACACCACATCACCAACGCAGCGGTTTGCTTCACACGCCCACACATACATCACTTACAAACTCGCAGACATCACCAACGAGTCAACACCACATACAGCATTCATATATCCGCCCTCACACCTCTCAAATCACGTAGGCTGACACAGAGATACTCGCATCCTTCACCCCCACACACGCCACTTGTTTACCCGCCCTCACACCCACACACCTCGCATACCACATCAATAACACAACGTTTTCCTTCAGACGCTCTCACACACACTCATGTGAGCTCTCTTTCTCTCTCTCTCTCTCTCTCTCACACACACACACACTTATTCTCTCTGTCTCTCTCTCACACACACATATTCTCTCTATCTCTCTCACACACACACAAATTCTCTCTGTCTTCTCTGTCTCTTTCTATCTGTCTGTCTGTCTGTCTCTCTCTCTCTCTCTCTCTCTCTCTCACACACACACACTTACTCAGCACACTCAGGTCACGCATTACACGTTCGTTCAACACGCTAAATCATCAATCACCATCGGCGATTGCCCTCGCTCGTGTAAACTTACGTATTCTGCATAGGTCACTGAAAAGAAGGAACAAGGAGATTTACAGAATCACAAGTAATGCATGAAACAATGCCTTAGGCCTGATCTGGACCCCTATAATCATGCATTTGGGCGTCAGTAAAAGATATCGCACTGTAGAATGTAATGTCCTTACTATTATGAAATAAAGAATAAAGAATAATAATAATAATAGTACGTGTATTTCAACTGAACGATTGATTGCTGTGGAAAGTTGTAAATTGTGAATATAAATTTACGATCGGAAAACTACGCAATCTTTAAAACTCAATACATAACCCATGCATTAAACACGTTAAATATAATTACATACATTAAGCGATTTTTTTTATTACGAGCTCTAAAATAAAAATTCTTTTAAAATCACAAGCAATTTGGCAGTAATTCTCTTAATATTTACTTTGATAAATTTCCTGAAAAAAAGCATTCACTGAATTAGGTAAAATAAATTGGCTCCCTGTTGATTTTGTAGAATGTGTATATATTCAATGAAAGAAATATTGTGAACTTTCTTCATCCCCAAAGATTTTTTTCTAACGTAATCAAGTGTGATATTAAATTTTTTACTCGATATTCACAGTAATTCATCTAGGATTCTTGTTTCTTGATGCAGAAATGAATATTATACATGCATTGCGAAACCCAGATATAATTTTCTCTAATTAAGTGAGTGGAAAACAATTATTAATAAAAATAACTAGTGGTGCTAAAACAGCACGTACTTTCTCTCGAGTATTTTCACGCAAATTTTCAAAAATTGGTACATGACCTTATTTTCAAATCTATTTTTAAGGAGCAGATTTCATTAAGGGAAATATACATTTCTTTAATAGTTTTGTTGCAGGAATACTTCAAAAAAAGTTTGAAACTTTTGCAATATTCGAAAAATGAAGGTTTTTAACGAATATAATATATACACAATTCTTTAAACATCCTTTACACTATCCAACAACAAAATTTAATCCAAAACGATGAAATCATTATTTTGAAAATTTGGGAAATGTCACAGGGGCTTCATGAAATGTATATAACAAAATTAAAATATCGGTTGCAAATTCCAGTGGCCGGGACATCAGCCGGATTGGGGAACTCAGCGTTAATTTTTACTTTCTCGCTACGAAGTAGAGAGAACATTATGTAACGCTGCGCGGAAAATTGTCAGCGAGAAAACGTTATAAACCTAGTTGCTAAATTTAGAAGAAAAATCCTTTTAACATGTGGAGTAGCCAGTATCCATGTTTTGTAGGCCCTTGATACCGAAAAATCGAATTACGGCAAAATTACCGTCCAGTCGTCTGCAAACAATGGAAGTGGCTAAACCGTTCAGCCTATTTTTTTCCAAAATTGCTATTCCCTATTCGGTCTAGCTGATGTCAGGGTCTCTTGTATTTGAAATTTATATTTTGATATTAGAAGTGCTTTACATGATGTCCCTGGCATATTTTTGAAACTTAAAAAAAAAAATGCTTCATCGTGTTTGATAAAATATTGTTGTTGGATAGTGTGAAGGACGTTTACGAGAACGGTGCGGACTAATGTTCGTTAAAACTGTGATTTTTCGAAAATTTCAAAAGTTCAAACTTTTCTTGTCTTCCTACAACTGCAATTATGAAGATAGAGAATTTTACTTTAATGGAATCTGTACTTTAGTGTTTGAAATAAGGTTATGTATAACTTTTCGAAAATTTAAGTACTTTTTGCGTAATATTGCGTGAAAATACGAGTGAGAAAGTACGTGATGTATTAGCACTACCAGTTCTCTGAATATTAATTTATGTACGGAAATTACGGTTTAATTCTTACGGTTTAGAAATTTTATTATTAGGTCCTTTGTGGACCCGAAGTAATAGTTTAATTATCAGATGTTTAGAAAAAGATGAAAACGGTTGCCATGCGTAATCGCTTCGAGACACCAGCGCCCATTACCAAATTGAATTTTTACTTTATCATCTGTTGACATAGAAAACCGGCATGCATTTGGAGCAAAATGGAACTAGTTCTTGAAAACGTCACAATCTGCATCTTCGTGGAATGGACAACGAGTTCAGAAAATGTTCAAAATATACATGTCCTTTGACATATATAAAAAACTGAAAAGATATTAACACAAACGTGTAGAAATGGTTTGTAATATATAAGTGAATACGTGTAGGATTAGCTTTTAATGATGAATTCATTGGTGAAAAGCATATTTCTCTCAGAAGTCTAGTTTTCCAGAAATTCTGAAATAACTTAAGTATATAATGTTATTTTCCAAAACAATGCATGCTAAGTTGTTGCTATGTTTCACTAGTCCCTTTTGATTGAAATACATTTTTATACTACAAGAAAAAATGTGATGTACTAATGATCACCAGTGTTCATCTCATTGTATATCACATAGTTTAGGAGTTTGAGAGAAACAAAGATGAACATAAGTTCGGAATTGTTTGAAAAATTGAATTTTCGGAAAAACGCATCGGGAGAGCATATTTATCGTTCGAATATGGCAAATCATGACATTCTTAGCAATTAAATTGAATTTTAAAACCAGTTTGTTCCTTCAGAAATGAATTATCTTTCATAATTTTCAAAATATGGGAATTTTCTTCCACTTCTTTGCTCATTTTCATGTAGCGAACAACGACCTGTTGAATTTTGCCAATTTCGACAGCAGGTAGAATCTTCTTCGGTTACAAATTTGTCCTTCAATTACAATGCAATTTATTATGGGGTCCACCGTTAAGCCCCCTCCCTCATTGGTGTTGTGATGTTTAAGCGAGAGTCGTTGGTATGCTAAGTGAGTGTGACATGCGAGTGTGAGTGTATGAATTTGTAAACCAATCTATATAATTTATATAGATCAATCTTATTAAATTATAAATATATATATATATATATATATATATATATATTATATATATATATATATTATACTTTCTAATTATTTTCCATAATATTTTTTAAATATGTTCATATTTCAACTATTTACAATTTAAAATGTTGGAAAGAGATTCTGGAGTTCAGAAAAATGTGCGCAGATGGTACTTACCCCCCATATATCACGTACTATCTTTCAACTGTGTTTTGACTGAATACATCAAATCAAATCAATGAGCTCTTCGCAATTTTAAGTAAAGGGTGATTAGTTCGTATTTATTTCCGATTAGTTGGAGTGACGTAAGGTCCCCGCAATGTTTTCTATCAACATGAACTGTCTAAGAGCGCTAGGTCGTTACGGCTGACTCACCTGCTGCAGCTCGTCGGCGCGGTACTTGCCGAGCGAGGAGCCGGCCTCGAGGCGCAGCGACCCCCACTCCCAGGCGGCGGAGCGCGGCCGCGGGTCCGCGCACACCACCAGGCGCAGCGTGGCGTCCTGCCCGCGCGCCACCCACACCGCCGCCGGCGCGCCCTCGCGCACCACCTGCGGCGCCCCTGCGCACACCACGCACACCGCCGCGTCAGCGCACGTGCACCAGCAGCACACGCCGTGCGCGCGACTCCTCAGGCGTACACGCAGCGCACGGCTACAGCACACCGCCGCGACAGCGCACCGGGTCAGCCGCACACGCGTCGCATGGCTACAGCACACCGCTGCGACAGCGCACCGGCTGAGGTAGACATGCAACACGCGCACCACCTCAGGTGCCACGCAGCACACGTGCGCACAACGTCAGGTGCCCCCGCAGCGCAGACGATGTGGCTACAGCGCACCGCCGCGTCAGCGCACTGACTCAGGTACACATGCAGCACACATCACTTCATGTACTCCGCAGCACAGACGGTACGGCTAGAGAACAGACTCTTGCTGAACCAACTGAGGAGATCCTGCAGCACAGATGGCGTGGCTACAGCACACACTGCCTGCACCGCCTCAGGAGCTCTCGCAGCTCAAGTGACGCGACTGCAGCGAGCTTCCACAGCACAGATGTAAGGCCACAGCATATGTTACGTGCACAATTTTAGGTGTCTACGCATCACATGTAACCTTCACAACTTCAGATGACCCCACGGAACAGAGGGCACAGCTTCTACACACGCTATGCGCACCACCTCAGGAGCTCCCGCAGCACAGCATTCGCCCGTGGCTACAGCATACGCTGCGCGCTACGTTTTTCATCTCTACTGCACATGTATCACATTTCGGGCAACGTCAGGCACTGCGCACCACAAGTTGTGCCTTTGCAACAAGCACAGAACACGCCTCGCACCACCTCTGCCTCCTTGCCCCTGTAGTACTCGACGAAGCTGCAACACCTGCAGAATTTCCTCTGAAGAATCACAAGAACGTGGAAAACAGTACGGTCCATACCAAGGCTAGTCCATAGTCGCGACTATGCTTAAATATCACTAAACGTAGCGTGAGTAAAACAGCTTGGAATCACCAAAAGTTTAATTTATATATGTAGTAAAATCAAAGTAAACTGGTGAAGAATTCTTATAATTGAAAATGTTGAGATTGAAAACACTTGAAATGGTGGTTCATTCAAACGGCATCTATTTTAATTTCCTTGAAGAGACTTTAATACCCTACACGATTGGTATCTTACAAGCCTTCAACTCTATTTCTCAGATACGTACTTATATGGACTCTGTTATGAATCTTGTTTGATCCCAAATGTTTTTCTCAATAATTTAAACGTATTTTACGCAGGAATTTTATTTTTAATTATTAATTGAGGATACTATGCTATTTATTTGCTTTATTTACTGTATAGTACTAAATAACAAAATATATATATTTCAAGAAATAAAACATTCTAACATATCCTCATCACTATACATGGGTATCCATATTACTAGCGTGAGGATGTTTGAAACAGAGCTACCAAAATGACTAGACAAATACACCAAATTATTACTCAAAAATCTCAACTTAATATCATAAAATGGAAATGTACACGTTTTTAAAATTTGTCTTATAATTTAGTTGCCAAATACAGCGTTTTTGGCTTCAACCGCATAATAATCAAATTATTTAAAACAAAGAAACAAATTTAAAAAACCGAAAAGATTACAAAATATCTAAAAGTAGATGTAAATAGTATATCTTAAATGTGTGAATAATTTTCAGAATGTTGCGAAACATTATTTGTCTCTGAGGTCAAAAAATACCTCAAACTGAGTCTAAAGGTTAATAAGGAACTGAGGACTCTCACTAATTAACTCATCGTCTCACTACGGGCATGAAACAATCATGTACATAGATGATGTATTTGCTGTTTATGGCACGAATTATTGCTTCATCTCATATTCAGCCATTGACAGCCAGATAATCGTGGGGTGGTAGCGGTAAAGGGAAAAGCCGACTAACGTTTTCTCATACAGGTGACAAATTCCCGAGAAAACACAATAAAGTTGTTTCCTAAAATGAACTCTGATCCTCTTATAAATGCATAATGTTGTTCTACAGAAAATAGAGTATGAAACCATTTTATAATGTTATTTTATTGCATTCGTGCGCATTTGAAAACTGCTCCTAACGTCACTCGTTTTTAAAACTTTTATAAAGCATAACATTATAAGCTTACTGCATAAAATACTATTGCTGTTTAGAGCGTGCGGCGTGGCAACGGGTGCTTTGCCTGAGAACATTGGTTGAATTCAATATACGGATTTTAAGGCTGAATATTACATTTCATAAGTTTGTACACAGTCGAGTACTGAGTTTTATTTTATATTATTATTATTATTATTATTATTATTATTATTATTATTATTATTATTATTATTATTATTAGATGACTTAGCTGGCGTTTCTTGGGGAAGAATATATCCCAAAAGAGACCATTCTCACCCACCACCCCGGTAATCCTGCCTCATCATCTATATGTCCCTGCCTATCATCAGCTTCCCGCCATATGTTCTTTCCATATGTTCCGCTAAGTCCACTGGACTCTTTCCCCCGCTCCATCGGCCTCTCCCGCCCGCTTCGCTTCTCTTCTTCCGCCCTTTCTGCTCCGCACGCACCTTCCTTTAGTTCCGCTCCGCTCGCTGCTTCTGCTCCGCTCGCTCCGCGTGCCCTCTCCGCTACGGCCGCTCAGCATCAATCCCGCATTCGACTAATTACAGGTTAGTCGATCCGGATAGTCGATATCGCTAAGGCAGTAGTGTCGTGGCGATCTCCGATCGAAGGATCGCGGGTTTGAATCCCACCTTGGACATGGATATATTTGTAATCGTCCCTTCATCATCATCATCATCATCATCATCATCATCATCATTCTATCACTTCAATAAAGAAAGTTTAATAATTCCCTGCACAAGTAGGAGGCCCTTGCTCTCAATGAGATATGCAGTTGGCCAATAAAAAAATATAGTTTAGGAAAATACATTTTGAGGTAGCATTTTGCATATCAAATTCTCATTTTTGAATGTTAGCCGTTTGTGAGCAATTTGAGAGAAATTTCTTCAGTGGTTTTAACGTGTTTGTGGCGATGAGAAACATCCATACTTTCACTTTTAAAGAATAGATTTTAAACATGATTACCAACCCTGTCTCTCTAACAGACATTTCCACGCAGCGTGAAAACGCATGGAACATTTTTCATCGTTCTAATTAAACTTAAAGTGCAACTTCACACGCTTTCGTTCAAAATCTGCCAAGCAATTTCTCCGTCGCATAAACATGAAAGCTATTCGCAACTTGTCAAGAACATGCAAAACTACAGCTCTTAATATACTACTGCGTCAAGTTCTCCACAGAGCAGTTTTCAAACACCGACGCTCTTCCTCGGAAGCCCAAAGTTCGAATTGCTTTTCGTTGCTAACTTCTGCTACTGTGAACATTAAAAAATTGAACGAATGACTAAGTGGCGGATAATTCGCGAGCTCTGGATTAAATGATGGGGCGACATAGAGGAGAAAAAAAATGTGGGTTTCGGGAAAAGCCTCTGGGCACTGGATGCCCTTTTTTGTCCGTCGCGCGCAGCCTGCCCTGGGGCTTTTCCGCATTCCCAATCCTCTCGGCGAAGCTACGCGCCCATTTGTGTGTGTGTGTGTGGGGGGGGGAGGCAAAGGAGAGAACGGAAAGAGACGACTGCGAGGCGCGGCGACGCTCGAAGAGGCGGAGAGACGAGGTGAGGCGGCGAGAGAGGGAAGGAGACAAGGAGTGAGTCGAGGTGAGGCAGGAAGACGGTGAACGAGGTGACTCAGAGAGGTGAGGCTAGGAGGGACACGAAGAGCGCGGAGGAGAGAGATGGGGCATGGTGAAGAGAGTCGTGGCGAGGTGAGGCGACTGTGGTGAGACGGGGGAAGACGAGGCGTGGCGGAGGGAGACGGATGGGGGTAAGGAGACAGCGTGAGGCGGCATGAGGCGGAGAGATGCTGAACTCAGAGAAAGAAAGAAAGAAAGAAAGAAGAGAGAGAGAGAGAGAGGAGAGAGAGAGATGAGAGAGAGAGAGAGAGCGAGGGGGGCCGAGGTGGGACGTGAGGAGCGGGAAGGCGAGAGCCATTGGCGAGTAGGTCGGGGCAGCGATGGTGAGTGCGGGGTGAGGCGGGAGAAAAACGAAGGACAATGAGTGAGTCGACGCGAGGTAGGACGGAAGAGAAAGGGGAAGAGCGAGAAAAACGCAGACGAGACGTAAAGCCGGCGAAAAACTCAAGCGAGACGGGGAGAAGTGACGAAGAGACGAGGCGCGTAGACCGAAGAAAGTACTAGCTTCATCAGCCTCGTCGGTGATTGTATTCGAAAGCTGACTATCCTAGGGGATGAGAGATGTGTGAAAGCGGGAGAGGAACGAGCGTAGATCGGGGGAAGAGAAGGAGCGAGGGATGGGAAGCGCACTGTCGCAATCAGTGCGGGTCGATCTATGAAGAGCTCTGCAGTACGGGAGACTGTTGAGGACGAAGAGGAGAAAGATAGGTCAAACAGAGATGAAACGCAAGCAAAAATGATAAGGGGCCGAGGATAAAGCGATGCAAAGATGAGTATCGGGGAGAAACGAAGCGAGGCGGGCGAGGAGACGGCGTGATATGATGAGAGCGGGGCGAGGTGGTGAAAGGCGGTTACGAGTCGTTGCGATGGGAGAGGGAAGACAGCGGAGCAGAGAGAAAAAACTAACGAAGTGGGATAGGCGGGAAGTGCAGCTTAGGCGAAGGCGAGGCGGGCGGGACGGTACGGGGCTGGGCGAGACCGGAGAAAGCCAGGCTGGCGGCGCGGCAGAGCCGAGGGGGTGTTGGGAGTGAGGCGGCGGACGGGGCGGGGGCGGGAAGAGCGTGGGCGGCGCGCCGCGCTCCGCTCTGCTAATCGGGCAAAGCCTCCGCGCGCGGCTGCGAGGCCGTGGGAGCTTCGGCTGCAAATGGACCGACGCGGCGGAGCGTGACTGCCCTCCCCCTCCCCTTCGCCCCGGCCGCTGAATTCCGCTCGGCCACGCACCGTCCCACGTCCTCAATGCAGCTCAGCACATGCGTGGATTTAACTATTTGCTTTAATA